GTGAACAGGGAAAAGACGGAGATGATGAGGCTAGTCCCCCCCTCCCCCCAAAAAAACAACAGACACCAGTCACTATCAAGAGGAGAAACTCTAAGAGGGTCAGTTGTTTCACTCACCTAATCAGCATCGTTTCAACTACGCGTGACAGCACAGATGTAAATGTCAAAACCATCAAGGATGGAGAAGGCAAGACAGACTGTCATTATCCTGAAATCAGTGTAGAAATCTACCGCAGCCAGCAATAGATAACAAGATTCGAATTTTCAGTGTTGATTTTAAATCAGTTCTTCTTTATGTTGTAGACACTTGGCTGCAGACTTTATCAACAGTCACTGTCACTCCATACAGAAGATCACACCGGTAGTCAGCATGGACAAGTAACAAGGAACTTTGAAAAAGAGCCAACTGAGAACCCATCACTCAACAAATTTGTTGAAGTAAATGGATGCTGATTGGACACCGGCAGAAAAGGTCGCTGAGCGATATCGCGTACCAGGCATCACAATGATTGGGAGAAGAATGAGAGTCGACAAATTAGGCGTAGAGGAAACCGTATTAGGCGGAGATGACAATGTGTGGTTAAACATGCAGCCAGCTAAAGATGACTGCATGGAAGAGGATGGAATCGAGACGTGCTGTATGGGCCTTTCGAACGCAGGGAAATAATATTAATAATATAATGATAATAATATAGGTTAACATGATGCAACTCACTAAAATGCTGCCACAGTTGCTCGAAAGTAGTCTCTTTTTTAAATTAATAAAAGCAGTTAACATTTATGAAAACATAAATCTTGCCCGCCAAAAAAGCAAAATGAACGATGATTGTATTGAAAACAATAAGAATTAGTGGTTAGTTTAAAGTATAACGCCTAATTAATTTACAAGAGTCTGATTCAATTTGTAGAACATGACCTGCGACGACGCTGATTATTACACCTAATAACGAAAGAACTTCTTTAAATCCTTTAAATCTTTAAAGTCTATTGAAATCAGTGTTTGTGGTATTTTTGGAATTAGTTTTGCATCATTTCTGTTTCCCGTGTTATGTGTAGATTCAATGAACAATGATTGCGTGTGTTGTCCCTGACTCAAACCTCCACCGACTTTGAATGTATTACTTTTCATAGCTGTGGCTCTATCTCGCATTATCATGTGACTGTGAATCAATGGAAACACTATAATAAGGGAGTTTTTCCTGAGTCACTCGGTCTGCAAGGTGTACAATTCTACACTTGTAGAATTTTTGTTGGTGTTGTTGGATTCAAGCTAGAGCATTTAGGCTACCATAATTCGTGCTTTATTTAGAATTCTCTATCGGTCTTCGAATCTTCCTTTCTTCATTTTTCACTTGATTTGATTGAGACCAGTGGTTTCATAATTGTTGCTTTTTTCTTCTGGTTCAGTATGAGTTACTGAATGAAGTTTACAGGATAATTATTTGGTGTGAATGTTCCCTTTCCATATTCAGGCGTTCTGGTGGACGTACTTCATAGAATTCCTACTCGGTTGCTTAAGAAATCAACTAGGCCTGCAATAACTGATAGAGGGTAGTGATTTGATCGTTAGGGAGCATCAGATCAACTTTCAAGAGTTGATTTGTAGAGACTGATTTGTTTCAGTTTCTATCACGAGTTGAAAGCAGTTGGGGAAGCCTTGTACACCATCGCTGATTTCTGAACTGATCTTCTTTTATAGTTTCGGACTCCAAGACAGTAGTCATCCACTGGAGTAAGAATGGTTACAAGTTGAAATTCATGGGCCATTGTTTTGGGTCCTACAGGCTAAATGGTCAACTAGCTGACCTTGTGACCAGCAGATCTTGAGTTCGAAAGCCGGATAGTGCGTACTGGCAAAAAGTTATATAGTGGGACGTCACAGTACTCCCTTACGGTTCTCAATGATTTTCTAACTGATATCAATCCGTGATCGAACTCGGATGAAGTCAAATCCTTTCAAGCCGACTGTTGTTATATAATTAGTCATTCTACTTTAAACTAACCACTGATTCATATTTTTGTCGTGAAATAGAATTCTAGTACAAAAGACAAAGGGTGTGTAAAAACAAAAAGTATCTCCTGAGAAAGTTTACACTTAATTTCCTTCTTTTGCCCATTCTTTGTGTTCGTGGTGGGAGAAACAGTTAAAACGAAGATTGTGTTGTCTTTTACAGGGTGTTGCTGCTATCCTCCCGCTCACCCTTCTCTAAATGTTGCTTATGCTGTCGACTACTGGCAAGCATTCGACGGCTGAATCACTGACGCAAACATCGTGTACATAGATGTATTAGGCATACAATATAATTCAATAAGACTCACTCTTTTCTACGAATTGCCTATCTAGCTGCACAGTCGTACATGTATGATTCTTAGGAAGCTGTATTCCATGAGTAAATTTATATGAAATTTGTGAATACTTATAGTGTCAACTGGGTTCATATGATACCATGTAGCATGTTCTCCTGAATTACTAGATTGAGAATGCCTAATTTATACCGCGCCTAATCTCTCATTCCGCAGGCAGTATGATCACTGTGTTCCACATTTCACCAGAATTTATTTCAACATCACTGCTGGCAATTTTATCTCTAACACAACCTGCGTAATCGCAAATGCTTGTGAATTTATTCGTCAGACTGTCTCACATTGGAAGGTTTCGATGAAACTCAACCGATGCACAACAGTCTGATGAAATAAAATTCTCATCACAACAACAATTTCAATAGTCTCTTTGTTCTTTGATACTCAACGTGTAGTTGGAATTCCTGATATGTCAGTCATACGCTAATATTATCGACACTTGCGTTCGGTGTGTTCTTGTCTGTTGAAGGATGTGTATTGGTGTAAAGGTAACTCAGATGAATATATTAGACACACGTTTTAAGACACCCACATTCCTCACGTTCTCTGAAGTGATTCGCTATGTGAGTTCATCACTTTATTTGCTTAACCGGTGAAAACATTTATCAGATCGTTTCATTTCACAGAATCTCGTAATTCACGTCGGTGAGTCAATGCGAAATTTCATTGTTAAATGAGAAACTCAACTGATTTGAGATTGATATATCTACATAGTTGCTCGCAGTGCACATGGATACTAGAGCGCTTCTTCTGAATAACTAGGGTCTGGTCATTATTTTATCCAAATGAGAAGGTTATATTCTAGAGTAATTGGATTGCATTTTATCCCCTATACATTGTCACTTAATTTGAACACCCTATAACGAACTGTCTCATCTAACTTCAAGTCCGGTAGCGAACTCACTTTAGTACGAGAAGTACTGAAAACCCCTACGGACTACTGGACGTCTGTTCAGTCCTGGTTTGTGGAAGTTGAGCAGACCTAACACATGACTTCAATACAAACCATCGAATCCATGACCTCGAGGTCAGTTTCATTCCAACTTGTGACAATTCTCTGGACTGATATGTCGCTTCAGATGGACACTAATATCTTTGATGTTAAAGGCTTCAGAGCATAGTTACCGGAAAGTGTGTTGTCTATTTGTCTCGTGATTATTCATGATGCCCGTTTTTTCATTAGGAATCAGTGTTCACGAGTGATATCAATCAGAGGTATCGAATATCACTGCATTATTACATAATAACGCGGTAAATATCCTAATGAGTGACTCAGGGATTGACTTGTGACCCGACAAATATACATCATATATTTGCATACATTTGTTGTCTGAATATTTTGATTCTTAGTAAAATGACAAAAACTTTGGTAAATAAGCTGTTTCTCATAGAGTGAGACGTTCAGAATAAAATCTTCTTTTGAGGGTTTCTTAAACACACTGATATAATTTTGAATAATTTATACAGATTCTCGAATATTTCGAATGAATAACATTCCCTTCTCGCTACTTTCTCATCATCGTCATATTTCACTGACATGATATCTACAGCCTCCATGAAGTGTTCTGCAAGAATTTCGCATTTCATTGTGAGAATTAGCCAGAAAGTCAAATTTTGAATGAATTAATTTGACTTTCTCCTTCTTTGTGTGACTCATCTTCCGAATAAATCTTCAGTGCTCATTGAGTGATGGCGTTTCAACTCGGAATTGTAGAGTTTCACTGGAAGGCCACGAGGGTGTGATACTTTTGCGTTCGATGCGAAGATTCCAGGGTTCGTATCACTATGAATACAGCACCACTGATTAAAAATTGCAGGCATGAATTTAGCTGACAACAATCGAAAAGGAATAAGACTTGCTCGTCCCGCATTCCAATGCTCGTTACTAACAAAAAACATTTGCTTCACATTAGTCCGTAGACGTCTTCCAAGTCTCAGTACTGGGAGTCGACATGCCAACAGAGACAGAGTATTTCAATTCAATATAATCAGGCGACGGAGAATGCAAGTACCCTTTGAAACCAACCACTTGACGTTTTAACATGAGATTTAGAATGCTTACACGTAATAGTTCTGATGCACTACTTCTAGTATGACTAATTGTGACAGGTTTAGGGCTCACATTCCCATGATTAGGAATATGTTCGCAACGGAAACAGATTTCTTCTAGTCACAATGAGTAAGCTCCACTGCACAGTGTAATACATTTCGCTTCTGCATCTGGAAATGACACAGAGTGAATTATTTGTGAAGCCGAAATACGCAGATTATTCTTCACATAGGTGATTTGATTTAGTATACAGTTACACTCTTTACAGTTTGTTTACGGCAATTCGATTGGTTACGTGTTTGTTCTTGAGCTGATATCAATTAGAGAACCATTGGAAAACGAGCGAGTACTATTCAGCTGTGTCGCCACTACCCACTCTCTTTGGTTCTGACGCAGTAATACAATAATTCGGAGAGATTGTCCATTATTATTTTAAATGGTAAATGTACAGGTGTATATCTACGTCTAGCTGTTTTACGTTTTGTTCCACAATTTGTGTTAATTATTTAATTACAGAAATCTCAGAATAATTTTGGATTGGATAGTGAGTGAATATCCGATTTGTGCAGTTTTTAAATACAAGATTGAATATGAGCTTTAAACAGATTTTAGATGTAATAGGCTTGGTAAGAATGAATCATTTGCTCCTTAATATTTTTCAGTTCATAGTTGTTGCAATTCTAATTGTTTGTGGTACACTTCTCAGTTATTGCTACTTTGATAGGTAAGATGACTAAATTTCAACTGCTTTCATTATTTTAAAAAAGAGACTGTTTTCGAGCGACTGCGGCTGCATTTTGGTGAGTTGCATCATGTGAATCGATATTATTTCACTGTATTATTATTATTTCCTTGTGTTTTTGAAGTGAAGTAGGACTCCAACAGCACGTCTCCATTCCATCTCCTTCTCTGCATTCATCTTCAGCTGACTCCATGTTTAACCACACATTGTCATTTCTCCACGGCATGCTCAAACCCATGCCTAATTCATTGACTCTCATTCTTATCCACTCGGTGTTGCGCCTGATACGTGATGTCACTCAACGGCCTTCTCAGGCGGTGTGTGGTTCACATCCATTTCCTCCAGCAAATTTGTTGACTGATGAGTTCTCACTTAGCTCTTTCTCAAGGCTCCTTGTTACATGTCCATGCTGACTACTTGTGCGATCTTCTGTACGGAGTGACGGTGGTTGTTGATAAAGTCTCCAGCCGGACGAAAGTGCTTTCCGCGAGTCGCCAATCGTCTACAACATAAAGAAGCGCTGATTTGAAATCACCACTGAAAAATTTTAAATTTGAATGTTTGGTGGTGTATTCACTGAGATACGAACCCTGGCCTGTTGGCTTCAAACGCAAAGGTATCCATCCCTCATGGCCTTCCAGTGAAACTCCACAAGTTCGAGTTGAAGCGCCATCACTTCATGTGTGCTAGCTCTGTAGACGGTTGAAATACAAACAGCGTTGTATTGAGAGGTACAAGCGAAAACATAAAAAGATGTATTGTTGACGAGATAGAATTTCAAAATGCGTGAGGTGAACACGAGATTGCATAACGGCGTAAAATATTTGTATTCATAAATATAAGACAAACGAAAAGCAATGCTCAATAATGAAATGGGGAACATTCGACAAGTATAAGTAAAATTGACTTCTGTAAGACGTCAATCAGTTTCATACTCGTTCAGTTAGTCTTAATTCAAGGGTTCTACGGAGGTTGGTCTAGAGATTCGATTATCATCCTAACTTCCATTCGATAATTGTGAGCGGTGTTGCAGTTTAATTCAGTTTGATTCTCATGACTCTTTAATCTTGAATTGAGCTTGTTCTCGTCACAGTTTTGTATTCACAACGTCTTTCAATCTCTCCAGGATGAAACCAACTAATATTTGCTTGGGGTCTACAGGAGCATGATTCCACTTAAGCTTTTTGAGATGGTTTCCTCAGTAGTTTGACAAGGTTGTCTGGGGACATCTGGTGAATGCTCTGGATCATGTTTCAATGCTTTTGGATGAATTCTAGAATGATTTGTCTGTCAAAGCTCCGCATAAATCACATGGTTTTCATTGGTGTTACATCCTACCCGTGATACATACTGGACAGATTTTAATGATCACCTTCTTATTTTAAATGGCGCATATTTGTCCTAACTCATTTTGTTTGTCAACTTCCTTTGATAAAACATCTTATCATTCTTTATTTCAGGGTTTGTGGAATTGTGTTGTACATTATTCTACGAAGAAATGAATTCTTGCAGTCATTTTTTCCGGCCAACATCGTTTTGATATTCACCGCTGTATGTGAATGCCTAAGTTAATGTATGATTCATGCGTCTGCTTTTATTTCTCACTATGCCTGCTTTTATATTCATTAGTGTGTCAAATATTGTTGATGGTCAAGTGGAGTGAATCAGTGAGTATGGAGTAGTGCGGCTATTTCCCACAACAAATTACACCAAAATACCTGTTCCATGTTTGTTATAATGTCGACATGCATGAATATTGCTTTGTTGAATGTTGTCGGATGAGAGAAATGATTAATTTGATCCAAGTAAGGAAATGTGAGCTTACTTGAAGCACGCAATTTATGCAATACATGTAGTATATTTGATCCTCTCTTTTTGGATATTCGTAACACACATTAGACATTTACCTTCAGGGTTGTCTGAATCAGCCAGACAAATGGATCGTCCCACACATGCGTGTAAACTGGAAGACACGGTGAGATGTGACACTATCATTCTAATGCTGTGTGGGTCTACTGGAGAAGATAAATTTTTTCTTCTCCATACTAAGAATTTCTTTTATCATCCTTTACCCTTTGTTGTCCTATATACAAATATGAATGACAAGTTCATGTGTGCGATCAGAATATCCGAAATATGCTACGTAGATAATCGCGCGTGTCAAATAAATTACGTCTTCTCATTGATTTGTCTGAATTCATTTTAAACTGGAACGTTGTTTGACAGTCAAACTTGATAGACACCACATTCTACGTGTATGCATAAAATATTCTGCCCACTTTGCCAATCTGGTTGCATAAATATCAGGTTGTGTTAGCTGATGAAGGACCACTGTTTACTAACGAAATCTCCAAGAGAATAAAGTTCAATAGTGTACGAAAGATATCAGTAAGGATGATTGGTGGGGATATTCTGTATTCGAAAACCGATTTATTTACACACAAATATCTCCGTATAGACATTATCTGTAACTATGCAAGCTGGAGTTGGCGAAGGTGTCAGCATATTTGGTTATTAGTGAACACATTGAAATGTTATTCTGTTTGAATGCATTGAGCTGCAAAGAATAAGCTCAGTGATACCTCAACAAATCTGAATGCACTTAGTGATTCGCAGAGATTTCGATGGATTCAGTATTTCATCATGAACTGACATCGGTTACCGTATAACTGAAAAATCGGAGGTATTACACTGCTGGGAGTCCTCATCAGTATGTACTTGCTGTGTTAGGAAGCCAGGATCTTCCGGGTACAAAGTGATATTGTATACAAAAGAAATTTGTTCTACTTTGTCTCTCCTTGGCCTAGTGAATCTATTCAAAACCCTCCCACCCTTTCTTATCATCCCTCTCCTTCGTACTTTTATGATATTTATTTAAACTCTGATTATCGTTCCATTTGATTTGACCTAATTTATTTATTTATTGAATTGTCTACATATATGCATATACTAACTTTGTTATTCTTATCACCTATATAAGCCTTATTAACAATATTTTGTTATTATTATAATCATCGTTATTGACTTCGTTCAAAACATTTACCACATTATTATTACTATTATTATTATTTGTATTATTATGATTACTATTATTATTTGATCCACTAAATCACCGTCATTGGTTAAAATGTTATATATATAAGTCTATGTAAATTAGAGTAAAGCCTGAAGAAGATCTAATTGAAAACAATATTGTTCGCTTATATGTCTTGTTCTAATATTATAAATGGGAATATTTAAAGATAACCGTTAAGCCACTGGAACTTGACCAAATTGCCAGTCGGTGAATTCAGTCACACAACGATGAATATTCTCGATAAGTATGTAGACTGCACAGTCAGATGAGAAGTTGATATGGAAAAGACTAGATCAACGAAGAATATTCTCGAATAGTGGTGTGAATATACTCAAACCTATTGAGTTTCATTACATGTGTAGTGAACCGACGTTTTTTCACCCCTTACATCGGCAGTATGTTAGGTGACTACTCGGAGTGGTTGATCTGATTGAAAAATAATTAACCCTACAGCAACCACAATTCAGATCCTCTGTTGAGCAGTAATGCTGTTATTCTTCGATCGTGAGGATTCGTCTATACAGGCTTTCACTAACAGCTCAAAGACACGAACATTACTGTAAGGGTAATTAGTGATATACTTGATTTGTTTCTTATGCCAAACATGATGACATGAATATCGTTTTCATTCATAAGTAGTATCTTAACAAATCATGGTTTTTTTTAATTATTCAGCTTTTATATCTGATATTGGGTGCTGCCTTTCTACTCGGCGACTGTGCAAGTCTATACATGCTGGTTGCTATTGGCGCGGCATTGTTGATTTCTCTCGGCGTGGTATTTTCCACCTTCAGATTGCGGGAATTGTCCAAGGTATTAGTAATCGTTCTCACTTGCATAGCAGCAATACTGACATTCGTTGGAGTAGTCTTGATTTTTTATTCGCAAGACAAGGTGAGAGTGTTTACCTATTCAACCTTCACATGTATACATATATGTATCATATTCAAGTGTTTGTTTGTGGGGATTTGATCACGAGACGAAATCAGTTACAGAACCACTGGAACACGTTTAATGACTCTCCTGGTGGTTAGTCGTGACCTGTGTGGTTCACTGATTCAGATTGTGGAAGAATCACCCGACTGTGACATTTGCTGGCGGCTGCGTAATAAATATAGCGAACTGGGAGAAACTGGAATTTATGAGCAACTTCATGGCATCCCAGTGGCTGAGTTGTCTTCAAGATGGCCATGTACGACAAAGATCCTTGGTTCGATTTCTGATGAGTGTGAACTCCTGATAAGTCATAAAATGGGAAGGTAGAGCAGTAGTAGTAGTAATTATTCAGCTAAGGCCTAAAAGATGCTGGTTCAGAAAAGAACAGCTGAACATGCGGTACGGGTGTTCAAGCTGGTATATCAGGTTCAGCTTCACAAATAAACACAAACTAAAGAGATATCTATGTTCAGTGTGGAGCATCCTCTTCACGATATCCCTTCAAATCTGTACAGTTGTATAGTGATCCAACAGTTAAGTGGAAATGCGTACTAAGTTTCACTGTGTGTTTCGACTGGTAACAGAATATATGAAAACATGTCGGATAATTAGTGTGTCACGTAATCTGAAATGTGCTAATTGACGAGTATCACTCAGAACTGATTACTGCTAAGTCTACTATAGCCTGCAATTAGGAATATTATACAAAAGAACAAGAGATTCAGAATATTTCTGAGGTAATTTGAAGACGTTGAGGGTTTGAAAGAGGCAGAAAAGAGGAGAACCAAAACCGAATGAGGATGATTATATACCATGTAGGAGTTAGCATAGAGAACGGACAGTTGGAATCCACAGTATTAGGAACCATTGGATGAACAGTTTCTGTATACACAGTTCAGAGATTTCCCTGTCTGTAGCACAAGATACTGCTGTAGACAGAATTTGTTTCTGGAAACCCGTTGAACGACCTCTTTTCACCATATGTATCACATTGAGAAATTTTCCTGTTCATGTGGAAGAATTTGCTTGAACAAGATGCATAAACTTGAAGTGTTGGAACGTCTAATTTCTCTTTTACACAAGTATATTGGAAGATGTTTTTGTCAGTGTCTAGATAGTATCCTACTGGTATAGACTGTGTACTAAGCTCCACAGGAGTAAGCGACTTGATAAATACACATGGATAATGTTCACAGTAAAACATTTTCTTTGACACTTGGATGAACCACATAATTTGTTACTTTTCCTTGACATGTATTTTTAATGCTGCATTACCAATTGATATTAATGTGTTGCGAGAGAGAGAGATGGTTTTTCCAGCTGGAGTTTTGAAGTTCCAGTAGCACTGGTGATTTTCGTCTGCAGAGTGAGGTTGCAACCCGTATGCTCAGCTTTTCATGTTCACAGCACTCACTTCCAGAAAAGCGAGGTGAATGAGTGCCTCGTTCAGGAGGCGAACCACAGACAACGTAAGTGATTAGTGAGTTTGAATAAGCATAGACTGAAAATAGCTTCCAACAAGTAGACGAATAATGGCCATGATAATGTTATCCTGTATCTATTTATGTGTGATGATTTACTTTATATGTTCATCTGTTATTGTCAATCTAGAAATCTGTATGAAGTGAAACAAAACAGGCATAGGCTAAAAATATTTCAACTATCATTACTTAATTGCGGAATATCATTGATTATTTTATCTCTTTTTTCCAGAAACATTTTCAGATTCCGGGCGGTGTTTTTCTTTGTGTCTCTGCAGTCATAGTAAGTTGAGATATCTTTCGATAGACAAAGGCAGTGTGTATTTTTCTACATTGTCTTCATATGAGAAACTGTCGTTGCGATTGTCAATATGCCATTTCAAGCTCTTGATTATAAAATGTACGGTGGATTCCAGTAAACATTCAAAGTACATTGAAAGTAACCTTTGACGAATGAGCAAAGAAAACGCAGAATCAGCAGAGAAAATACATTTGCACATCCATGTTATTTGCAGTGACATACATCAGCAGACTCAAAGCAATGTTTCTTGGAATGTTGTGCGTTGTAGCTGTTTGCATACTGCAGCGAATAGGTGTTCGCTGCATGCCTTTTTGAGAGGCAAACTCTAACATTTGAAAAGTATCGAAAATCCGGATTGATAAATTTGTTAAGTGATAATTTTGGACAGCAGAAATACTAAAATACCACAAAAGACTGCCTGGTAGTCTGCTTGATGGATTTATCTTCCATCAGTGGATATGTTGTAGATCCGATTTTATGAACAGTTATTGGAGCTTACTGATGAAGGAAGAAGTCGCTATTATTGATGCAATTACTATGTGGTAACGTTTCCTTTTGAATCCACTCGTGTGTTCAGTGAATGCAGCGAATTTTCATTTGTCAACAGTACATATGCCGTTTTCGTAGATTTCATCCATTTGCATCTCCAACTAGTGCACCATTCAAACATCAATTTACTGCAGATCAATATTCAGTCACACTTATGTTGCCAGAGCGAAAAACTCGCGTTTCAGGTTACAACGTAACAGATCACTAAAATTGATCCGGCAGCTATTCAACTGATCTTCCTTACCAGATCAAAAGTCTCAAAGTCTAGTAACTGCATACCTGCTAGCCGAGTGGCCTGTGAAATTCAGGTTAACTAAATTGCACTGTAAATATTTCGGCTAATGTTTCTCACCATATATTTCATGAAGTCAAATGCACTTGTTTTCTAATTTCAGGTGATTTTCACTCTGTCTTGTGGGTTACAAAGACGCCTCAAACAGGCTGCCAACTTGTTCTTTCAGCTTCTCGAATTGCTCAAACTTTCCATGCCTATCATCGCACTGTATCTTGCTTTATGTGTAGCTTTAGTTATCAAGACGTTTCACTGATTCCTAGATATCCTTATGTGTGTTAAGGACGAATGAAGCCTGTACAAACACAATATAATTGTAAAAGGAATGAGTGAACAGTGAACTTATGTCAATGTGATCATGTCAAAATGGGAAAACAGACTAGTTGTTACTTAATTTTCCAGTTTTTTATCGTTGCTTCATTGACTTTCTCAGAAAGTGGACATGCAATTTCGTCTTCCTCCTGATACAATTCATTGACAGAAATGTGATTAAGAGGGGCTCAATAAGAAGAATTTGTAATGCAGATATGAGTTTCTGTCTTGATAGAGTGATGAATCTAAATATTTTTTACGATGTAAGTAATGCTGATTGGTTCGGTGGTTCCTGTGATACCGCAAAAGTGGCCCGTGAAATCCGACAAATCCAAAATTGCTTCGTTTTCATTTGAAAAGTAAATAATAGTGAGTTTTCTTCAGGTTACTAATCTGTTTCCAGTATATAACTCTGCAGTACAGTGTTGACTGTGAACATAAACCTGCAGTGTAGTGTTATACGAGTCATCCCAGTATTGCAAAGTATGGTGTCTACGGGTCAGTGGGACCGAAGGTTGTTTGTGTCAAAGTTACCACACACAACGAAAATTGATTTGTGGTCTCTTCTTGAGTAAGTGAACTTGTCATCATCTGGCATTATGAGAGAAGCTCACAATAAGAAACATAATGTTAAGAAGTGAAATTATGCGACGGTCTGATTTCTACACCCACTGTGTAATAGCACCTCAACTATTACACTATATTCGGAATAATGATATCACTGCGTTGTTCAGCATCGATATAGTTGGTTCCTTTCGCTAACCAAACCACTTTGATGTCTGTGCAGCTGCAATGAGATACATGTATTTTGAGAGGGTTCACGACACCACTGGGGTGCTGAAACCTCAGAAGTTGTGGCAGATTTAGATCCTATGTGGAGTTGTATTCGCAATAATGGATGTTATTCCAGTCTTGATTAATCTGCTTAAAGATAATGAAAACGTAGTCAGAATGTAATCAAGGCAGCACCTATTACAGGGGATGCCATTCAAATTATCATGAGAAAAATCCACTTATCGGATGAGATGGCGATTGAAAAGGTGTACGGAGTTTTATCCAGGTGTATTGTCAGTTAACTTCAATTTACGATTCTCATAGAAGCTTTGAAATCGGAGTGAGACTATCTGCTCACCTTTGTAGATAAGAATAGTCAGTGGTGAACAGGTAAAACATAAAAATCTTTCCAATTTGACATGCGATTATCGTGTACTGTGTTTAACTTATTTCTCAAACTCTGAAAACGCTTCCATGTAGCTGATCAACAAAATTCCAACCTGTCTGTAGATTTAAAGATAATTTTAGGGTCTGTGGTAAAATGATGTACAATTTTCGGTTCTATTGTCATGAACAGTTACCATGATTTAAGCCCAATTTCAGAGTCAAAAACAATTTCCCACGACTGCCCGTTTGATCAGATATTCATTATGTTGTAGAGTCTTGGGATGTGACATGACGAAGTAGGAATCTGGAAATTTTCGATGTTTCCTGTGAACATGCCTTCACAAAAAATTGCAACTATGAGTAATCCTCGATTCCCATCTGTTTTCTTAAATTAACGGGAGCCACTTTTACGGTGTATGTATGCACGGAAATGATCTTTCATGTCTGATTTGTGCCAGCTGTAACTTCGTTATCTCTCCTTAGTAATTTATTAGTTTTCACTGTTCAGCAGTGAATATAAATGACTTGAAGAAACGACTGAAGGATGAATAAACGCAGTAGATGTCACAGATGAGTCGCATTTCATGTTGTCGTGCATAATGAAACAATAGGAGATAAGCCGCTGGGGAAGTCAAAATACGTGTGGATGAAATATTGATGATGACAACCAGATGTCAAACAGTTAGTACATCCACGTCATGTCACAAATAGGCTTCAAACAGCCTTAATTAACGTCTTCAGAAATTCACTCGATCACTTGTGTGCCTAGTAGCAACGTCACTCACCGTGTCTCTCCACCTAACGCAAGATATTCGAAGAGGGCACGTGTGATAGAATAAACTTGATGTCTCAGTAATATCTACTATTATCTAGGAAATGTTACAGCCGTGAATTGATACAGCGATATAACGATGCCCACCGCATACGTAGTCTGATATGAAACTCGCCAGTGACAGATATCCTGCAGGAGAAATATTGCACTATGTGCGTAACTACTCCGCCATGAAAAGACATGATATATATTCTTTCATTCAATACACACAGACAATTATGGACATCAATTTGATTGGGATAAGGCCTATATCTTGGACAGAGGAAACACCAAAAGTGCCAGAGAATTCCTAGAAGCTTGTTACTCAAACGAGTATGCAATTAACAAACACGTTAATACAGACCAAATATGCCAACTAATAAAAAGTAAATCATGTGACCAGAAAGTTTAAAATCCAAGTCATTAGAAAATGGTCAACACACATGTAAAGATGGTTACGGGGAGAGGCAATTATATCACTCATGAAGAAATTTAAATAATTTCACTTTATGCTAAATATTGCGTCAAAGATGTTGTCCAGATGGATGACAAAAGCTCCGCAACTAAACCAACTAGCTCAGAGAACACTATTATTTGTATCTGTATGCTGATTGATTACTGCAACTCTGACTTCACATAATATACAGTTTGACTATGTATTAGAAGCATATTTCTAGAATAATCGTGCCACAACGAAATATCACGTTACAAATCCGTTTAACCTAATTCTAGCTACGTCTTTCCACCACTAAGAGTTGAATAAAATGAGATTAGGTTGGGACCTATTAGAAATAGACCTACTGTACCATGTCAGCTGTCCATGCATTCGTTAGGTGTCGTTTCAGGTGGATATGAGGGTGTACACTGAGTGCTAAGAAAGCTGAAAATCTGGACTTCTTTAAGAAGGTTCTACATTGTGTTTCAGAGTGCCCAAATGCTGGCTTATCATTTTATGAGTGAAATGTGCATAATGACCAGTGGATCCGTTTATCCTGAACGATTTGGCTTGCTGGTCTTGCCTAGCAGTCTCACATAACTGTGTACAATTGGGCTACTATTTGCACTTGTCTCCATCAAGTGAGTATGCTGAGGATCGTTGGCTTTGCTGAAGATGCGGATACAACCTTGTGTACTATATATGACTGATACATTCCGCAATCCAGATCGTTGAGAGGCATCACGCGGCAGGCCATCGAACGGAACCTGAATATGTAATGAGGAGTTGAGTATTGATCTGAGCGTGGATTTGAAGAGATTGTATGGGGGTCCTTCTTTATCATCTTTCGTTACCGAATATATCGCAGAGACATATGAATACTGCGTGCTCGAAACAACAAAGACCATTGCAATTCGAGTAAAATCGGCTGTAACTCTGAGTGCTAAAGGAAAGGTTCAGCTACCAATGCTACCATGGTCTGCTGAGGTTTCTGTATATTAATAATTTCCGTGTAAAGTTGCTCAGTATATCTGATATTTCACCTTGGTGAGTTGACATTAATCGTGGCACTATTCGTAAACCAGGGTGTGCTGGACAGCTGTTTTGTTGTAGTGTGTGACTCCTCAGCAGTTCACATTTACTAGAATTTACATCTTTGAACTTTCGGTTAGAGCGTTTATCACCAACTAATATTGAGGTGTTTGTGTGAATGGAATCGAGACAGAATTTATGATTATGAAATTAGAATTTTGAATGATTCACGCTCATTCGCATCACCACCGTTCAGAAAGTGATATTTCGATTAACTTTAAAGTGATAATGTTCTGATTTATTCAAAAATGCTTATTACCGGTGATGAAATGAACTGGCTACCTGCATGTTAATGAGCAGCTGACATTACCTGTGTGAAGATCATTTTCGCTGTATAGTCGGTATATTCACTGACAGTAGCCATCATATTATTATTAGCATTACTATTGGCACTATAATTCAATGCCATCTTTGATACTCGAAAAAGGTTGTCATTTTGAAGAAAAGGAATAGTCATGGCAAAAAGTTTATCTCAGTTCCAGCTTCTTTAGATTCTCGAGTATAAATTTTAGTCAAAATAAACAAATAATTAACTTGTGTTTCAGTGGACTTTGAATCGGTAAACAATACAAAGATCAAACGAGTTCCAAAAATATAATAACTAAAATGATGCCGATGAATAACGCGTTCGCCTTCACTTTGAGTCATTTTTGGGCACCAAACAAATAATTTCAGATGAATGATATTAACTTTTTTTTAAAGAAGAGGATTTCTGAAGTTTGATCAGGGAGTGATGTCAGTTAGACAACCAAAGAAAACTAGGGATTACTAGACAGCTGTTTGGTCCTAGTTTGGAAGTCTTCACTAGTTTTCACCTGTCGCCAGGGTTGAACTCAGGATTTTCAAGTTACAAGCTGCGTCCTCACACGTTTCAGCCGTATCTTTGCCAATCAACTGTTAATAGCCTTCTAATTTGCAGCGGTTTCTTTATTTCTCTTTGAGTGAGGTATGAAGTGTACTCTAAAAGTGGTCATAAGCAAAAAATAGCCCATCACAGAATGTTTTTTTTGAACACCATTTCCTAGTGTGAAATTAAACTGGCAGACAGTGGTGTTGCGATGTAGCTATGTTCTCTGAGCTAGATGGTTTATTCGCGGAGCTTTTATTGCTTGACTAGGCAACATCTTCAGCGCATACTTCAACTTGAAGTGAGCTTCTAGATTTATCCACGAGTTTATTAGTCATCTCTTCTGGCGGCCGTCAACGTGGTTGGCTGCTTTGCATATTTTCAAGCTTGCTAGGCTGCTGGTATTGAAACTGGTGTTTATTGTTTCCTTAACCTGCAGTTTGACTCTTTGTATGTGAGATTACCTTCTTATCGATTGGTTAACTTTGTCTTTGTCGATGTGTCTAATGATTGAGGATTCAATGAAATACCAGGCTACCGAAAACTCTTGCGTTGTCTCTTCACAACCACGCCTATTTTATGTTCGACAAATAAGGACAAACTATCTATATTCACCCCCCCCTATATGTATCTACCAATTTCACTGTAGCTGCGGAGCCAGCTACATTGGGCGTACAACTAGGCAAGTTCATCGTCTTATTTCCGAACATCATCCAAAGTGCTTAAGCAAGGGACAAACAAGATCTATTCGTAGTTCTATTTTAGCCCACCTCGTTGATACTGAGCATAAGATTGATGTGAATACTGCATTTAAAATTATTTATCACATTCCGACTTATCTTAATTTTGCTCTGCGA